ATAAAACTCTCTGGGCTTTGGCCACCTACAGCCTCCTTCCTGAATTCACTTGAGAAAAAGGTGTTATGCAGCATGCTCAAGAATTTAACACACCTATTTCCCATATTTCGATGCCACTTTGCATCTTCAAAGTACTCTACAAATATTAGCTGACTAAGCTTGTGACACCCTTTATGAAATGGCAAGATTATAAGGTTAATTTAAAGCACTTCAGATTACATTTTTTCCTCTTCATTAGACCTTTATATTCTCAAAACGGTTTGCAAACTCCACATTTTAGTGGGAAACTGAGGAATTTTAGGTGGGGACACTGAGGCAGATGTATTAACAGTTAGATCTGAGATAATTCTGACTGCCAGCCATAGATCTATAAATACAACCATACTGTGCCGTACTGTCAGTGTGATGTACTGCATAGAATTTTCAGTAAAATTACTTAAAGCATTTTCATGTTTATCCACTCTTCCAACCCCAGCTGCTTTGAGGGTTGGTAGAAGAGGTTAAGCTGGTTTTATTCAATAAAATTAATGCAAAGCATCTAAGTAAATGAAGGGGCAGATTGGCCTCTATAGTGTTAGCCCGGATCCCTTCTTACAGCATCCCCCAGCTCGTGTTTTTTTTGTAGTGTTTAAAAGACTGTTGCTCAGAGGTACGGGAAGAATATCAGAATATCATTACTCCGGCTCCTCAAGTAACCAGGAGAATGCAGCTGTTAAACTCAGGATATAAAATACATGTTTAAAAGATGACTCTGTATGTGTTTAAAAAAGAGAGCGAGAGAGGATTCAAGGGAACCAAAAAATAGCAGGTTCCATTACTGTAATTAAATGGCAGCATTTAACCTATCAGGCCGTTGCGTGTATGTGAGAGACGAGCAGGGAGCTGCATTTGAAATGATCTCTGTCTTCCTTGGGGGATAGAGTAGTTAAATAATTTGTTTGCGAGGTGCGAGTTTAGTGTCGGGTAAAGCAAGTGCTGGTGTGTGTGTCTCGTAAAGCTGGGCTCGCTGAGGATGGCAGGAGGAACACAAGCTGCTCTTGCCCATTCGTTGGGCTCTCTGCAGTCAGGGTCCTGGTCCCACATATTTCATCCTAAAAGCAGAGCTTTTTTCACACCAGGCCACCTGAGACAGACAGCAGTAGCAGTAAAAGAAAACCAGGGAGGAAATAGAGGAAGAAAAGAACTGGAGTCAGTTTTGTGAGCTTTTTTTCCCAGTGGTTGCTGTAAGGGTAAGTTGTTGGCACTCGGGAGTCTGGGGCTGTGGCATCCCTGGGGACCAAGGACGAAGCTGCTGCTCAGGGAGCTGCCCCTTCAGCAGCACATCAAACTGTGCTGTACCTGTGCCTGGCGTGGTTCCTGTGCTTTGAGACTGTGGGGTGAGAGCCACGTGGAGAGAGAGGGATCTGCTGGGGGCAGCCTTGGCCCTTCATCATGGACCTCGACTCTGAGCAGCCCTTTGGCAGACCTGGGCAGTGGTGGTGGGCCACTTTTTGGCATCCCAGAGAGGAGACACAGTCTTATGTAGTGCTCAGAAGGAGGTGCTCAGAATCTTCCCATTTTTATTCACTCCATTTTTATTTGTACGGTGATTCCTTTGTTTGGGGAATGTTTCCTCGCCCAGGAGCTCCAAGAGCTATCCTCATACTTTGGACAACTTCAGCTGTTTCCCCTACTGATCCAGCTTGTGTTACATTGCAGGAACATGGCCCTAAGCATTTTTTAACGTTCACTCCAGTTTCTGTGTGAATTCTGTATAGCCACTCCCATTTTAATTCCTGGGCTGGAATTTTTGTGATGCTTTAAAAGACAACACAGTGTTAAAAATACAGATATTTCTGCATTTCCTTATTGAATATTCAACCCCAATGACTGGATTTTGAGGGCAGCACTTGGCTAAAAGGAGACCACAGAAATGCCCTGTATTTTAGCACCCAAACAAAGCAATGTCTGAATTTGATTCCTTGATGAGAGTTAGAAATCTGAAACTATTTCCATAGATGATCTACCAAAAAAAAAGGTATAAATACGTTATTTGAATAAATTATTTGTTGCAAATGCCTTACCTAACTCAAGTGCATATAAGGCATGTATAGATTCTCAAACCTGTCAGTCTTTGCACGTGATGATTGTGCCAGTCTGAAATGTTTTAGAAAAGATACAGTGTAATATTATTTCTCTTTCACAGACGTAGAAACTGAGGCAGATGGAGGTTAAATGGCCTACACAAGGTCAATAGCAAGGCTGGGAATAGAACACAAATGTGTAGAGGCTTTTTATTATACTAATAAGGAAACTCTGGAGGTGTGTTTGGCATGGTAATCGGAACCCCAGAGAACCAGAAGCAGTTACTGTGTTCTGTGCATGTCCCGAGGGAGCAATGATGAAACTCCTTTTCTACCTTACCACTCCAGTTTTCTGTGTGTGGTCACCATAGTTTTACACCACTTAACCTCGTTATTTTTAGTATTGTTAGCATTAGTCGTCCTTTGGGCGTTTAATCCAGGCTCTTTAATTTTCTCCGGAGCCCTGAAGAGGCCCTGTGGAAGCCACAAGGGGAGAAAAAAAGGCAATAAACAAACCAAAAGATGAAAAATGATCTCTTGAAACTTCTTCCATTTTGTTGACTTGTCCCCTAATGTTTTTTGTCTTTGTTGTTCTTTCATGATGAAGGACCCTGCTTAAATATCTAATCTTGGTTTTCTAAAAGTTAATTTACTATTGTTTCTTTCTTCCCCACCCAAGATTAACATCCTGTGTGATGACATAGATGGTTGTTGTCTAAATGGATGTGATGTAACTAACAAAATTGTGGGTGGAGAAATATTTATATACTTGTGTTAAAAATTACAAAGTAGGTTTGTCTTTTAAACAGAAGGTATTTCAACACTGTTACTGGCAGCATCAGCCTTTAATTTTACAGGTGGCTACCTTTCTAGTAACATTCAGCAAATATTTTAATGGCATGTAAAAAATTTCTCAAAAATAGAATAACAAGGAACGAGGGTGATTTATAATCTGTAATGAATTCTTGCTGACATTGTCTTTTTATAATAGTGTAGTAGCATCTCTGTCTTTCTGGGGGAAGTGGAAACCAAATTTACCTGAAACATTTATACCATAATAATCATATATGTAGCATTTAGATGTAATTTTCTTAATTCAACTTATCTTCTTAGTGTGATGTTACCTGACTCACAGGTGTCTAACACTAATTCCACTTTATAGAAATTGAGTTAGAGGAGCCAAGATGCTCTGTAAGGTTGTGAGCAAATACCTGTCAGAAAAAGTCATGTGTTCATGGCTCCACACCCACTGTTGGTTTCTTTACATTTCCATGTCGTTTTCCATGCACACTCCCATGTATTTTTACATTTTCTTAAAATGTGCAGCTGTGAGTTCTCCATGCTCCCCACAGCAGCTTCCTGACCGAGGGAGTGTCCAGTATGCCCTGTCACACTGTGTTCAGTGCTTCATTGTGTGTTCTTCAAACACAAACTTCATTTAAAGACACTTAATATGATTTTTCCTGTGGTAAGTATGTTCAAATGTGTCTGTTTTGTTCCTTTCTAAAGTTTAAAGAGGAGATAAATAACATTGAGGCAAGCTGCTCTTCACACTGCAGTTCATCTGCAGAGGCTGCTCTGTGACTGGTTTTGTCTAAGGTAGAAAACAGCCAGGTGCTCTCGTTAGTGTGTTTGGGGCAATCAGTAATTCCAGAGTAATGCAAGGAAACAGAAATGGTGCATCAGACAGATTTCCCCATTCTTATATATAAAACAAAGACATCCTTGAGATATTCTGAAAAATCTGGTTAAAGAATTTCGTATAATGGCTTGAAATTGTTCTTTTACATGATTGCTTTCTTTTGAATGCTGATTTTGGCAGAAAGAGCGGCAGGTTCTAGAACTGCAAGCCAGCCCAGTGCAGAATCCCAGATCAACAGTGACTGATCCAGAGTTGCACATAAGGGCTGGGCTTTGGGATCAGACCTGATACAGTGTGTGTGCACCCCCATACCACGGAAAGGCCTGGGGATTCTGCACTGCTCTAACAGTCAAGTTGGAGGTACAAATGTCTGGTTGACTGCAAATCCCCCCTGGCCAGCTCCTTCTGGATCAGCACTGGAATTCTTGTGACATGCTGGTTCAAGTAGCTGGAAATACGATTTAAAATTGGTGTTCTGAAGGTAGATCAAAACCAAACCTCATGTATTGACGGTGTTTTACCTTGCTTGAATTTAAGACCACCTCTGGCTTTCTATTTAGAAGCTCCTAAAGATAATATCACAGATCAAAGAGTAGCCAAAGGCTAATCATTTTGTTATTATTGCTCAACAAGCTGCTTAACAAAATATATTTTGTTCACACAAAATAAATGGATCTGAAGCACAAATGTTTTCTGTCACTGCTGCTATTAAAATATGTTGTAAGCTTTATAAGCTATGGTAGTGCATGGCTTTCTTAAGGGCCATGTATCAAACTGGGCTGCTTTTGGAAATGAACATGTAGAAGAAATTAATATTCTTTCACCCTTATAGAATGTTTCATGCTGTAGTTCCCAGTTTAATAGGAAATTGCATAGGCCTGATGTGTACTCTGGGCAAGTTACTTCATTTTTGAGTGGAGGGTTTTTCTTTGCAGCCTGTCTTTCCTTCACACTGCTTGTTGGACGCTTTGGGTCTGACTGCCTTCTGTGGTCTGCACAGTTCCCAGTACCATACCTGCCCAGTGAATGCCTTTTGGGCTCTCTGAGGAGCATTGTGATACAAATCATGAGGATCAGGAACCACCACTGTGAGACTTGTTTCTCTGCAGGAATAGCAGCAGGATCAGGTCACAGGTTGGGTGTGCTTGGAAACGTACCCGTTCAGTGTACCAATACTTGTTTTCTCTGAATGCCTGGTCTTATTTCTAGGGAGCTGTCAGTTGTGGTAACGAGTCATGACAGCACTGTGGTTACTGGGGTAGTGTCTCTTCCATTAGCTGGATTTTTTGCTCTCTAAGGACTTCTTTTAAACAGATGTCAGAGCCCTGGTTATGTGCTATTCTTGGTAAGCTACCTTGGAACTGGTATCCTGGCATAGTCTTCAAAGCCTTCAAACCCCAAGTAGATACTAATTTGAAATCATTTCAAATATGTAGAGGTTTTAGTTCTTATGTAGTGTTCTCATGAACTGGCTGAAGGTTTGTCCTATGTTTCTGTGTGGCAGCACTGGCTTCCAGGTTAGTCACACATGGTGTGTCTCCAGCTCTAGCCATGCAGCAGGCAAGTGGACATAACCTACCAGTGTCCACTCAAAGGAGGCTTCCCATCAGCTGCTGTGATTATGCTTGTGCGACAATAGAAAGGAAAAGCTGGAGGCAAGAGACCTAAAAATAAAAATAGAGAATAAAATTGCCTTCCATTTTTAGGAGAGATTTTTATTTATGTTTCAGAAAGACTTGTTTCTTCTGTCTTTTTTGCTGACCATGGTGTTCTGAGAATGATCCTGTAATAGGCAGGTCTTCAGAGGAAGGTACCCAAGTTTGAATTTATTCTGTGTTTTTGCATATACTTGTTTGTGTAGGAATGTAAATGGGCTTTGTAACAAAACTTCTGGTTCTGTAATTCAGGTTGGTGAGGACTTCTGGACCTGTCTTGCTTGAGTCAGTGTCATGTTGCTATCTCCTTTTTTTCTCCATTTTGAACTGTTTGTGGAGTGGAAATGATACCTGTTGAATTATGCTGTCTGCTGCCTGAAGGTTTGTTGTAGATTAATTCAACAAAGAGGTGTCCAGATCCTGTTGAGGCTGTGGTAGCGCTCCATCTACTGGGACTTTGGCATTGCAGAATCCCGAGCATGAGTCCAGTTTTCATCCTGCATGTTGTTCCTTGAATTCTCCTCTTAGTGCCTTGACCCCTCGAATGTATAGCTTAGTATTGGGAGCTTTTGCTAAAGGTATCTCTTTATTTCTTTCTTTCCTCTTTCTTTTTATGGAACAGAGATAACATACTTCACATAGGCAAGGAGCTTACTTTACATTAGAGGAGGAAGACCTGACCTCTCTTGCTGCAAGTGAAACTGTATTTTCCCTGCCTTGAAACTACCAGTGAAATGCATTTTGGACTGACTTATAATGCTGTGATTTATGCTTTGGTATGCTTTGTGATATTACAATGTCCTTTTGCCTTTGTGTTTGATTTTCTCCCCTCTGATAAATTTTACTGGGTATTTACCCAAAATGCCCATAGGAGAGTGAGGCATTCTCCCTGCTGTTTGCTGCCTCAGAGAAGGAATCCCATGTTTTTTTCCCCCTCCAATTAACCTCACTGCAATTTCTTTTTTTTTCCCCTCCTTGTTTTGAAATAGTATTAACATGGGAGATATTTTTAAATAGAAAAGCGGAAGAAAACATGTTTCTTATTTATATGTATACATGTTACACACAAATGTGAATGAGTGACCAGAAGCACCTTTTTCATTTTCCATTTTGAACTTCTTATATATATATAAAACTGAGAAGAAAAGTTGTAGTACTTGTTCTGTTTCTTCCATTCCAAGACATGCTAAGCAAGTCACTTGCCCTTCCTTATTCAGAATGAAAATACTTTGATCCAGTTTTCTGAAGACAATACTCATTTCAGAAGAATATTTAATCAGTAGAAAATAGAGAGGATTTAGTTTGTTTGTTTAGTATTTAACCAAGTGAATAAGGCAGATTAGGGGAAGGGGGGACACTGGACCCATAAACAAGGTGATATATAATATTTTTTTTCGTTCTCCTTTTAAATAAATACCGATCAGCTTTATGTTCAGAGACAATAGGAGCCGTTGGCTTAAATTTGCAGTTTACTGTATTTATGGCTGTAATATCAAGGTGCTGCCGTCGTAATTTCATGCCCCAATGAGAAGAGCAAGGTCGAAGCAAATGCTTCCATCGGCATCTGCTAACACACTAACTCATAAACAAGGCCCGGCTGGATCAGGTGGCACGGAATAATACAGGCTAATGAAATACAGCACAGCTTTCCATTACTGTTAGTTTTTACAGTGTCGTCATTACGTGTAATTTATGTTTAAAAAATTCAATTTTATACAAGGCTCTGGGAAATAGGGGTCTGCAGGTCACCCGACGACTTTTAACGGCTCTGAGAGTCCTTATTGCACTCTACTGTTCCAACAAAATGTTAATAATAAATAATAATAAAAAAAATCCTCTTTTACTTTTTCTCTGGTTTGCATATCTTGCTCTGTCTTTTTAATTACAAGTGGCTAAGGAGAGTTTGGGGCTGTAGATGATGTCAGGAGTTATCCCCTCTGCTGGTGCTCCCAGAGGGGGGTTACTATCTGCTTGCTTTTCTTTTGTCTGTCTATCAATCACCCGGGATCCTGTAAATGGAGTAAACACAGCTGAGGAGAGGGAGATACTTAACAACCTCTCTCCCAAACCCTCACCCTCTGACATTGCCCTCCTCTCCTCCATTACACTTCATTTTATTATAGACTCCAAAAAGCTTAGCTAGGAAGAGAAACTGCTGCTGTATTTATTTATTTATTTATTTATTTATACTTGTTATGCCAAAATACTTTTTATTTTAACCTTTTCAGTCCTGGCTGACTCATTGTGTAATTCCCACCATTGTTCTGTTAGTCTGATTTTCCTTCCTTATTTTAGTGCTGTGCAGCTGAGGTTAGAGCACCCTTACCAGTTCTGATTGCTGCTTAGTCACCCTGATGGGTTAAAGTGTATCATGTTTCTGAAAGATTGCACTTGCATAATTAACAGTCTCGTAGATGAATAGAGCTGTAAGAATTCAAAGCCCTTTCAGCAACTTTTCAAAATACTTTTATTTCTGCATTTCTCAGCCTGACAGTTGAGACCAGGCCACGCTCCTTTGATGTGTGGGCTCCTTTACTAAAGTTTGAGCTGGAAGTGCAGTAGCAGGATGTTTACATTCAAATGCAGTGTCTCGGTGTAAATTAAGGGGAAAAATCAGAGTGCTGTTTCTGAAACCTTAGGTTTATTCAAATATTAGGTTGGGCTCAACCTCGTGAATGACCATGTGACCATTCAAGAAAATGGACCAGGAGACTTTGCCTTTTTGACCTTTTTGAAATACATTCAGCTAAGCACAGAGTAGGACGTAGGAGACAGATTTGATAACAGTCACCCAGCACTGCGTGTAACTGACTGAACAGGTGGAATCATTAGTCTGGATCAGATCCCAGAAGGATTTTATGATGATTCTTTTAAAATGTGGCCATGTTCTTTCTGAGCAGAGTTGACTCAGTGGCTTCCAGGAACAGAGTGTAATGTCATTTCAGGGTGCCGACCAGCAGATCTTCCTTTTAGTCATGTGATACCAGGCACTAACTTCAGGTGGTCACAAAGTTTGTTGTAGCTGAACAAGTTGTCCTGTCCTACTTTGTTTTTGCCTTAATAGAAAGTGTGTGGGAAAAAGCCAGCAGCTGCCACCCCCTGCCCCACACCCTCTCCTGCCTTTTGTCCCTGCCGAAGGGTGGGTGGGGGCTTGCTTCAGGGTGGTCTCTGGAGTGGTAATGAAGCTGGCTTTGGAAACCCACAAAGAAACTGATTTTTTCCCACCACCTTTCATTATTATGGCAGAATTCTTAATTTCACCTAAACAGAAATGTCTCCCCAAAACTGATGTAACCTGAAAATCTTGTGTGAATTACTGAACTGAGCAATGTAAGGAAGAATATAATGAAGAAAAATATATTTTCAGTGCATAGGATGGGAAAAGGGTTGTCAGTAATATGCCAGAGCCTGCGTCAGAAGAAGAAAAAGCAGTGGCTTATCTGGTTGAGTTAATGGAAGGGTTTTACATTGCAATTATTGCTGCTGTGTTTTGACAGAAAATAGGTAAAACATCTCCTGAGTTTTATTTTCTGTCTGCCAGAGGTTCACTTCTGACCTTGGGGCACTTGTCATGTGTGTATGTCTGACCTCTTCCTCATCTGTGAAATATGGGTAACAGTACTGTAAGTACTCCTCTAGCTCAGAGTGACCGTAAGAGGAACAGTGTTTTGATGTACATGAGGTCCTTAAACAGCAAGAGATATTATAAAAGGACATAAACAGTCAAGTCTTAAAAGTTCTTGTACAAAAGAGCTCCTTATACAACACCCGAGGTGCGGGCACCAAGAGATGCTTGTGACAACCCATTTCATTCTCTGACTCGCTCTGTTTCTGTGTTTGGCTACAATTTACAGAGGCTGAGTGATGCCTGCGAACTGAGTGGCAGCAGTGACAATCAAAAAAGAGGGTCAGCGAGAGCCTTTGAGTGCAAAACAATCATGGGTGCTGGATTATTCAAATCAACACCCTGAAGCCTGAAAAGGAATTTTTGAAACTTTGTGAAAATTCTGAGTAATTCTTTGCAGTGGCTGTGGTGCTGTAGAGGAGCGGGTGGCGGGCTGGGGGAAGGGAGCAGGTTTGCATTCTGTGGGGCTCAGTTTCCGTGCATCCTTCTCCTCAGCTCAGTCCTTGCTCAGTACCCTCTGCGGTTAGATTATTCCTTGCAGATAGCAATCAACTGGAAGGAAGTGTGTGTCTAATTTGCATGAGATTATTTAAAACAAAAAAAAGGTCTGCATTAGTCAGGGTGATGGTAAACAACGCAAAGAGATGCCTTTTATAATATAGCCGTGGCTCGGCTTTCAAAGCCAAATATAATTCACTTACAATTGGCAGTTTCCTTTATTGTTCCTTTTAACCTTTTGCATTCTGCATGGACTTGATCTTACTGCAGCCACAGAACAACGGAAATGTTTGTTTTCCAAAGTGTTGGAAAGTGGATTTAGAGCAATTCCACTGTTCAACTGAGGTGATTTTCTTGAGATACCTGTTTGGGAGCTGTACTAGACACAAAACCCCAGGTTTTGTGACACTGCTTTTGCATCCAAGGGCAGTGGTATTATTTTTGGGTTGCCAATTTCCTGCTAGATTAGAACAATGAATGAACATGCATCCTTTTTCATGTAGTGCAGTGATAGGACTGTGATAAAATAAAGCAAGATGAGATATTGGAACAGATGACACTTAGATCTGGCTTCAAAATTCACATTTTTGTATGTAATTAATATATCCAAGTTGAATAATTTGGGCATGGAAAATTCATACCGTGTGCATATATAGGTGGTGAATTTGAAAAAAAAAAAATCATTCCAAAGGGAAATGTGATGAAGTTAGCTATAACTGCCTGAGGAGAGCCTTAGAATATCTTGTCCATTTTTGTTACTGTGTATGAGAAATGGCCAGCATGGGGACAGGTATATTTCTGAGTGCAGAGATGACTTGTCATTGCTGAGTGTCTGCTGTGCAGACTAACTCTGTGTATATGCACAAGGACTCAGCTCCAGGACTCCCTTGATCTTGAGGCCAAAATCACAATGCCTTAAAAGCATCTCGTCCAGGTGAAAGAAGAGGTTTTCCAGGCAATCCCAGTCTTCTCCTCTGATAATTAAAAAGGGATGTAGTTGTGATATTCTCTTCTTCATTGCCACTAGTACCATGGCCAAGACCACTTCACAAGGCAGCAGAATAGTACAGGGAAGTAGTAACAATTCTAATTCTGCTACTCAAACCAGGAATTGCAGTGTGAAAGGCTTCCTGTCATTCTACCATTCACATCAGCTTCTTCTTCACAGCACAGCAGGGTTTAAATGGAAGCAGTGGTACTTGTCCCTAGCTGGCAAGATCAGAATAATCCTAGAGGTGCATTTTATTTGCCAAAGATTTTAGCTTTTCTCTCAGACAGGATGAGATTATGGTATGGTTGTGAAACAACTGGCATTCTTTTCTGCCCTTTTTGCAGAATGAAGTGAAGATCCTCCATTACTTTTGATGTTTCTAAGTGTTAAATATTATCAGATTTGCATGGAAATAGAACAAAATGCCACATTTGCAGCCAGAAAGTAATGTTGTCTCCATCTTTATGAAATTCGGTGGTTGCTGGTGATCTGCAGTGTTGGCATCTGTTTATGGGTTCTACATTCGATAATTAGTAGCTGGTTGAAACAATTTCTTTCTGATTGGACTTTGCTTTCTAACGTGTATTAGACACTGTAAATACTGCTTTTGTGAGCAGAGCAATACGCTGAGTTGTGTTTATCTGCCTTTTATTACTCTCACTGCAAGTCTTGTTCCATGTTGTTTTGTGTGGTTTTGGTTCATTACTATTTGAGCCGTGCATCAAACACAAGTCACAGGGTGATTCTGTCAGATTGCAGGACCAAAGATCAGGAACTTTCCCTTTCTGATACTGTTTCTTA